TATTTTCAAGCAAGGTAAAGCACCAAATTGCCCCAAATGTGAAGAGAAAGGTAAATACATAAAATACCGTATATTACTGAAATATTACCGAATAAAAGTGACAAAAACAAAAACATAATCACTGTACATTTTGCTCCAAAGTTGGTTGTTGCTATTATTTCTACTCAGTAACATATGGTAGTTTGTTTTCTTTCAATTGTTGTTTAAGTTAGTGATTAATTATTCACACTTCAATAAATAGAAAACGCTCGGACCAAACAAGGAAGGCGTCCTCATACTATTGAACATCTAAAACTGACAGTAATCCTTTACGGTGATTCACATCCCAAAGAACTGGAAATCAGTAAAATAGCGAAACATGATAAGAAAAAGGCTGATTGTTTGATAATAATGGGAACTTCCTTAAGAATTCCTGGTGTTAAAGCACTTATAAAAAACTTTGCTGAAGTGGTTCATGGTCGTAAAGGTTATGTAATATTGGTGAATGCTACAGATATAGTTATGAAAGGATGGAATGGGTTTATTGACTATCAGATAGAAGGTACCTGTGATGAGTGGGTTAAACTTGTTGACATAGAATTATCAGAAATCGAAAAAATATCATTATCAAAAAATAAATTAAAAAATAAAAGTAAATTGGACAATGCAAGTGACAAAAAACAAGTAGGAAAAAAAAGAAAAAACAGAGTGAAAGTCGAGACAGGCACATTGAAGAAAAGAAAAAGAAAGTAACTGCAGCAGAGGTGAAACTGAAAAGTATCGAAAAAAATAGCAACAAAAAGTTATATTAATAGAGATACAGTATTATTAAAATTAAATAGTTTGATCTAAACAAAACAAATATAATCATATGACTTAATCTCTACCGATTTCAAGGCAGAGATATATCGCTGCCACAATTCATTGATTTAATACTACAAAAGTTTGTCATTATTTCTTTTTTCTTGTAATTCTGAATTGTTAAAATTTAAATATTGAAGGATATAAATCTATCAAAAACCACCAATCTTAAACTTTATCATTTTGCTATTAATTATACAGGTTTAAGTAAAAGTAGCGTAAAAGGGTTTATTCATTCAGTTCATTTTTCGCTTTTCTATAAACAGAGAAGGTGGTCAAGTTTCGCCTTGCTTGGTGGTGGTTTTTTTCATCAAATGCTCAAACATTATCGTGTACCTTTTCATTCTGTAATATCCAGGAACTAAATAATTGATTTGTTGTACTATAGCGAGCGGATTGTTGAGTTGCCATTTGGATAGGGATTTGAAATCGCTGTGATATTTGTACCTTTCTTTAGACATAACTTTATATGAAAACTTATTTAGAATAAGAATTTATGTCTTATATGTCATTAATATGTTATTTTAACCGAATCTATCTGCTATGTATATATAGGATAACTTTCTCGTGATTGGTTAATCATATAAATTGAATATCATGTAACTTTGCAGATCATGCTAAAGCATCTTAATTTCGGTGACAAATATTTCTACTTAAATCCTATTTTCAGTGACATTTTGGATTTGATTTTTAATTTTGATTTCTAGAATTATTAAAAAATACATGTTTTAATATCTAACTCCGATTATCTAAGACTAAACCGTACAAAGACGTTAACGAATGTAAGAAACAAATTGTCTTTGTTTTAAGCGTTATCACTAAGAACCATTCGGACAAAAGACCGTATATGATTTGAAATATATTACTACTACAAATTGTACTAGAGCACGTAATAAATAGGACAAAAGACATAAAACCTTTTGTCTACAAACATAATTCATGTATATATGGCATAACGTGAAATCAAAGACAATTTATTTCACACATTCATTAATATCTTTTATCTGAATGGTTAGTTAAGTCTTAAGATAATCAGAGTTAGATATTAAAATATCTCTATTTAAACAAGTATATTTATTCATCAAACAAAGCTTTACAATAGTGACCGAATAATTACATGATGTATATCATAACAAAGAATTTATATTGAAGTACTAGAATTTTTCGTGTTTATTATATCATATATAAATTATTATTTATAAAAACGCTTTAAATTCTATTTTTTTAAAAAAATAAAATACTCTATAATAAACATGAATCTTCCCTTTGAAACTCTTCTTCATATATTTTCATATTTAACGTATGAATATAAAACTCTTTATTCATGTATGTTAACATGTCGTGATTGGTGCAAATATATGGTTCCTATATTATGGAGAGAACCTATAATATATATTAATGATAAACGTATCATAGAAATATACCTATCATCATTAAATCAGGATGAACGAAAACCATTAAAGAGATATTATTCTGTGACTATCCCAGAATTTAAACAACATTTATTTCAATATGAGAGATATATAATAACAATAGATTGTAATTTATCACGTGAAATTAAAACCTGGTTATGTACTGACAAACACGGCAAAAAAGTGGATGCCATTGAAGATTCACTATTAAGAATGTTTTTACGCTCTAGTGATAGAATCACAGAAATATCATTAGGGAATAATGATATATTAGACGAAGTCCTATGTAAAAACATTCGCATGGTATATTTGAATGGTGCATTTAGAAATAAAGAAGACGCGATATTAGCAAAAGCATTTAGAAATAATGTCAGGATAGTAAATATTGAAATAGAATCAACTATACATGAAACTCCTTTAATTAAAACTTTAGGATCTTTATGTGAAAATACTATTTTAAAAACTTTAAATATAAATTATATCCAGCTAGATTTAAATTCGATTAAAATCTTATCGAAAGTACTTTGTTCAAACAACACACTCAAAGACTTAAGTATTGATTTAACTTATTTTGCTCAAAAGGATTAAACCATTTTTCTGATGCATTATGTCAGAATTCAAGTCTTCGTAAGTTAAGTTATTATAGAAATAAAGCCGGGTTAGTTGGTGGAGAAGTCTATTTTGCTAATGTGATACTCAAGAATAAATCTTTGACTCATTTAAATTTAAGTTCTAATGACCTTAAATGTGAAGGAAAACAAATAATTAATGCACTCTGTTTAAACAATTCATTAGAGGTTTTAAATATAAGTTAAAATTTCGACGGAAATATAGATGAAAATATAGCAATCATGCTTACCAAAAATAACACATTGACGAATTTAGATATTAGTGATAATTATATCGAACCAAGAGGATTCGAATTTATAGCAGATATATTATATAAAAACAATAGTACACTTGAGTGTTTAAAAGTCAGAGACTGTGATCTCGATTCTAGTTCTGAAAAATTAGTTGCAAATATTCTTTATAATAATATTACATTAACCTCTTTGTATCTGGACGATAACTATCAACTTGGTCTAGAAGGTGGAAAAGCAATAGCGAATGCACTTAAAAAAAACACAACATTAGAAGAATTAAATCTCTGTGGTTGTGATATTGGGTCAATAGGAGGCACAGCGATAGCGAATGCTTTATCTGAGAATGCAATATTAAAAAAGTTAAGCCTCTGTCGAAATAATCTAGGGGATACTACCAGTATCAAATTCACTAAGGTACTTTCTATAAATTTTGCATTAAACGAATTAAGCCTTAGTGACAACATGCTTAGCAATAAGGTATTGACTAAATTACAAAACTCATTAAAAAAAAATAATAAATTAAAATTATTATATTTAAGATTTAATAATTTTAGTACCACACCTAAAAATAGTATAATTATAGTCGATTAGGGTTTATAAACGTTTTACATTATTAAATAAACAAGCATTTTCGTTAATACTAACAACGCGTAATTATTGGGTGGGTTTAAATAAGATGAGGCTAAGCATGAGTAATAATGTAATCACTCAAACAATGAAATTTTGAAACTTTTGAACCTTGATGTTAAAGCAAAATATACTAGTAATTAAGCTTCTCAAACAATGATTTTTTGAAACTTTTGAACATTGATGTTAAAGCAAAATATACTCATTAAGTATTCAATTCACTGATGCATATTTTACTGGCTTCAGCTTTTTTAATTGTATTTCGCCTTACTGTGTAAGATTAACAAATGAATCGCAAAATATTATACACGTAATTTACGTGACGAATGCGATTATTTCTCAAACAATCATTTTTTGAAACTTTTGAATGTTGATGTTAAAGCAAAATATACTCGTAAGTGTTCAATTCACCAGTTGTATTTTACTGTATAAGATTAGCGAATGAATCGCAAAATATAAACCAATAATTTATGTGTTCAATGAGGCTAAGTATGAGTAACGAATGTAATCATTTCTCAAGCAATTTCTTTACAATAAAGAATTCTAAAACATTATCCAAACATTTAACAGCAATCTTTAATAAAGTCAGGTTCCTCATTTTGCCTTTTGTTTTTTTTTAGAATTTTAACAGTAGTTAGGATTACATTCGAAAATATCAAATTCAATTACTTTTTTTACAGGATTATTAGATTTTCGAACTTTTTAAAATCCTTTGTTATTCAAATAATCAATAAAATAATACAGAGACAGATTAAATAAAAATGAAATGGTAAAAACCCATTTGTAAATTTTATATTGATCATTAGTTATATGATCATTGATGTAATTTATACACGTTTCTAAAGTTCGTAGACTGACAGAAAGATTTTCGGAAGTAACTGTATCTATATAAAACTAAATGATTAATTTTAATCTCTATTATTACTAGTATTTTAATTATAAATCCTTACCTTGAGAATAATCTGATTCATCATCCTCTGAAATATCAAAATAATAAGAATAATATTTGTAATCTTCTTGATTTGGTGGATAGAGGGGGGAGTTTGGTTGGCTATATAACATTTGGCTAATTTTTTAAGATCAGAATTTGCCAAAAATCTGAACTAACAAAATCGATAAATTTATAATAAATTTATAAACATATTCATTGTATATATTAAAACTAGTTAATATAAAAAATTTTAAATTTCGAATCAAATATAACTACGTATTGTAAAACTGTACGCAGTTAACTGAATAATTTTAAGTATTGAAATATATTGTGTTGTTTTATACTCAATATAAATAATAAAAGTAATGAACCTTTCGAACCAGATAAACTAAACTTTTTTATGTAGTTATAATTTCTTACCGGGTTATAGATTACTATGACTTAATACATATAAATACTTTTAATATAACTGTTCAGATTATGTGGTTTTAATTCAGTTTGCCGAAACCGCATAATCTGAACACACTACTCTACACATGTTCTGAACACTAACTCTAATCTGGACTATCTAATCACAATTTCTTAACATTATTTACTTTAAGAAACCTAAAATTTAATTATAAAAAATGCATTAAAATAAAAGCCAACATTCTTTTTACCAGATTAAAAACGTCATAATATTTCATGCTGATATTTTAAAGCCTTGTTCCTTTTTATTTATTTAAGGGGATCTCTTGCAGTATGGGTTGCAACAAAAAATGATTAAACCATTACAACTCTTTTATGAATTAATTCTTTTAGCTTATTCTCTATTTTAGATTCAAATAGATTATTATTAAATTGCAGTGTGGTTAGGGTTGCATTCACCTGAAGAGAAGCTACTAATGCTTTTCCCACGTCATTTTTAAGGCCATTGGATGAAAGATCTAAAGAAGTTAAAATATTATTTTTGCAAAGAGCAATTGCAAATGCTTTCTCACCATTTGCTGATACTCCACCCTCAAACCCAAGTCCGGCATCGTGAAGCACTAAAGTAATTAACGTATTATTTTTACAAAGGGCATCTGCTAACGCTTCTCCTGCATTCGCGCCAAGATTATTAAATGAAAGATTCAAATAGGTTAATGTATTGGCTTTGCAAAAAGCATCCGCTACCGCTTTTCCACAGTCAGAACCAAGGTTATTATTTGAAAGATTTAAAGATGTCAAACTGCTGTTTTGTACAAGTGAGTCCGCTATTTCTTTTCCTCCTCCAGCAGAACCAAGGTTATTGCCGGCAATAATTAAAGTTGTTAATGTTTTGTTTTTGCAAAGAGCATTCACTACAAATTTTCTGCCATCAGAACCAAGGTTATTATTTGAAAGATTTAAAGATGTCAAACTGCTGTTTTGAACAAGTGAGTCTGCTATTGCCTTCCCTCCTCCAGAACCAAGGTTATTATATGAAAGATTTAAATCTGTTAATGTATAGGTTTTGCAAAGAGCATCCGCTACCGCTTTTCCACCATTGGAACCAAGGTTATTTTCTGAAAGATTTAAAGATGTCAAACCACTGTTTTGTACAAGTGAGTCCGCTAAGCCTGGTGCAAGTCTGCAACCAACAAGAATTAAGGTTTTAACTTTCTTGTTGGTTGTAAGGTCAAAGATCAAATTATTTTTACATAAAAAACTGCTGATTTTTAGCGTGTTGATTGCAAAGTTTTTGCCAAAGGATTCTTGTAAACAATTTTCAATTGTATTGTTGAGAAAGTATAGATCTTTGATCTCCAGTGTTTTGAGTTTGTTACATTGTAGAATCATTTTAATAAAGAGGGTTAACATCATTATTAGAATGTGACGAATTTCAAGAGTATCGGTTCCCTGTTGTTTTTCTACAAAGTTTCTAATGCCGGTAAATAAATCGAAAATGCAAAAGTGCTTGATGTATTTCGGGTACACAAATAAGGTTTTTTGATGTGGTGGAATATTTATTCTAAAAGGTATTAATGATGCTTGTTCTTCTCTGTTTAAGTTTATGAGAAATATCATGATGACAACTTCTTTTGTCAACACTGGGTGTTCCCATAAGATAGATACGATAGTTTCACACCATTGACGATTAACAAGCAAGTACGAGAATAGATTCTTTGTGTCGTTTTGAAACAGTTTGAATATTTCGAGCATGCAGTCTCTTGGTAGTGTGTTCATTTTTTTTTACGATTAATTTTTTTATCGATAGTGTTCGAAAGTAACTATAACCTTATATATAAAGTATATATTTTTTGAATAAACATCTACTTTAATTTATTATACATATTTAAATAAAATTGAGAACCTTTTAAAGCAAAAAGAAAAAAAATGTCGTTTACAGTACAATATATAAATTGTGTACGTACGTATAACAGTACAATATATACATATAAATTGTATACAAATAATTTTTTTTAATAACAGAAAATAAATATGTTGTACGTACAGTAAAATAATTTTTTATACATAGTTAAATAAAATTTCTGTATTTATAATACTGCATCTGAAAATCATTAAAAATGTATGACATCTTGTTTTCTATGTGCATGTATAAAACGAATATAAATCTAAAAATAACACGCAGAAATTTCGACATGCCAACAATTATTGCATTAATTATATTCTTGTCTTTAAAAATGGTATTTCTTTCTTTGAAATGACATTCAGACCTCCCGGCGAACCATTAACGCGAAGTCAACATTCCACGTGACATAATAACAATGATGGATCGATCTGGAAACGAAATCCTTGACACATAACATGATCAACTAAAATAAAAGGATAAGCTGCATATGATATTTGCGATTCAAGAGTGATATGAGGTTTCATTTTAGTTTTTACCAATCTAAATGATGCAATTGCATTTATTAACTCAACAAGAGGTAGACAACTAATATGTTTTTACTGGTGAGTTTGGGTAAACCCCATTTCTTACTTAATATGTATGGGTTGAAGTTACGCTGTCACTTAGGTGAACATTGTAGTCATGGTATACTCTACATATTATCGGCCGGATAATATGTAACTATCATGATGATGTCACTGAAAGATGTGGGCAACCCCCATGTTTGTGATGAATAGATCTTTGTATTAATTATTTTTTATTATTTTTGTTAGTCTTCAATAACCCGAAGAAGAATTGCATTTGATAAACATTATTAATAATTGTGAATTTAATTAAATAAAGAAGTCATATTTTCATATTTATATTTTATCAATTGTTCACATTTTGGAATATATTTTATTAAGTTTATTATATAGGAATTTCAAAGTTATTACAAATTTAATAAAAATAAAACTTTATTTCCACCAGTCTTTATTCCAACGCCTGGGATCACTATATTGATAAGTTTTAGGACATTGTTCTTCCTTATTATGATATACAGATTTATATCTTTCCGAACAATTTAAACATTTAATCTTTTCTTTCCATTCTTTACTTGTGATTCCAGGTAATTTTGTTATAAACCAACATTCTTTCACGTTATGATCAGTTTTTTCACACCGCTGGCACCACTTATAATTTCCATATTCAACATCATTCCAATTCCAAATAATTATAGAGCCACAGCCACAATAACAATATTTCTTATCTAATGAGCACCAATTACACTTGCTTGTTTCTTTTCCCCATGGGAGAGGGGGATTTGTCGGGTTGGGACCCCATCCATCTTCCTTTTGATCTAGAGTAAACAATTATTGGTCAATATTGCATAAACACTAAACGAAAATTATCTGAATGTACTCACGACGCATTATTTAAAATATAATTGTCAGTGATCTTGATATTAGTACGTTCAGTTCACGCTAGATATTGGCTATACAATGATAAAATCGCTAATACTTATTTCTTTATCAAAAAATTTAGATGTACAAAAAACTAATATTTAAATAATACAGTTTCGTTTCTACACGTGACTTCTTGAATATAATTCAAACATTTTATGTACGTACGTACGTATATTTATGAGTGAAAGGAAAAAATCTGAATTTTTCTAATATTACAGGTTTTCCTTTACGGCTCATATACTACTGGCTAAATACCTACCGATTATATATTTTATCCTGGTAAATCAATATACTGTATATTTAACAATTAGAATAATTTATTCTAATGAGTATCATGCTGGTTTTAAGCATAATGTACATTTAGTGTCAGCATTTATTATATAATACGTGAACTGGTACAGTGCATAAGCTTACGTTGTATAAATAATTTTAAATTGATAATACCGGTTTATTTTATTATTGGTGAAATAATAGCATATATAAATATTAGGGCTCTGCAAGCGCCAGACACGGGCACTATTAAAACATAACGTTTTGGTTAAAAGTCTTCTTTTAAAAATTACTGAATTACAACTTTTTGCGAATTGTGATATTAATTGCAATTATTTTTTTTTATTAAAAACTACCCATAAAGTCATGGCCTTTACTTATAAAAATTATTGGTGTTATTATTATAAAGAAGCGGGTCATACATATGTCAATTGTTTGTTGAAAAAATCAATAAATAAAAATTCTGCTTTATTACTCCGGTTCAGATAATTTAGATTCGAGATTGATGACCACCTTTTGGATTAAGATACATTTTTTAATGTTATTTTCTTTTGTAAAGATTAAAATTTTTTATATAAAAGCAGTATTTTTTTTTCTTTCTTAATACACAAACACAATAAAATTGTGGCGGGTGAAAAAAGGTCTTTTATAATTTTTAACTGATTACATAATACCATGTCATCTCAGTCAAATAATATAATAAGAAATTTTTTTACAAACTAATTATAGAATTATTAAAAAGGGCTTTATTGCATGAAAGATAATTAACAAGAGCTTTCAAATAAAAAAAAAGGCTGCTCAATATTAATTAGGTCATTGTTGAGAAAAAGTAATTTGAATTTTGATTTATGATTTTTTATAATAACTGATCAACGCTTTTATAAAAAAAGATCGAAAATTTAAATTACTTTTTTTCCAACAATGACTGATTAATATTAAGCGGCCTTTTTTTTATTTGAAAGCTCTTGTTAATTATCTTTCATGCAGTAGAGCCCTTTTTAATAATTTTATAATTAGTTTGTAAAAAAAATGTCTAGTGAATCGTTAATAAGATAATAAAAATATTATAAAGTCTATGATAAGAAAGAAAATAATAAATAATAAGGACTTTCGATAAAATAAAAGTAGCTTCATGATTAACTAGTATAATGTTCAGAAAAAGTGAATTATTTTCCTATTTTTCGTATTGATAATATAATCAAAAATTATCTTCGACCCCATTATAAAATCCGAGATTAGTGATCTACATCCTTATGATTAATTAGACCCTAATGTCACATATCTATTTGAGGCCTTGGCATCATCGCATATAATATAGACGCTCAGAGTAGAGTGTCCAGACTTATGTGATTTCAGGGATTTTTCATTGTTCGAACAATGAAAATCCCTGAAATCGCATAAGTCTGGACACTCTAGCTCAGAGTTTTGGAGTGGCTTATCTATTACTCAAAAAAATTCGCATAGCTTTTAATTGAGCATCTTTCATTTTATTCTTTTCCTTCTCTGATTTTTGAAGGTTTTCACAACACTGCTTAAGATACATGTTGTTTTCATTAATACGGCTTTGATAATTTAATTGTAATCGAGCCTTGTCATTTTGAAGTTTTTTCTTGTAAACGTATGCCAACTCAATAGCTTGTTTGTTAAGACAGCGGTTTATATTTCTTTCTTTTTCCAAAAATTTTTTAAGTTGTATATTTTCTTGGATGTAGTTGTGCAATTGTTCCTTAAGATGCGCATTTTCTTGTTCCAAGCTCCCCGAGTCTGACATCTCTCTTTCGTCCTCTAAAAAATATTTGTATAAGTAAATGATTATAATAAAACAACTTTGCTTTACTCATATACCTTGATTATCAATGACTTCTTCGAATTGTTGTATTTGAACATTTGAAGTATTATATACGTAAAAACATAAATCAATACATAAATATAAGTAAAAAATAAGAGAATCAATTGTAAGAATATAAAATAAAGTGAAGAAATCCATTTTGAAAAAGTATGAGTAAAAAACAAGCGAAATAATTGAAAAGGAGCAAAAGAAGGCAATGGAATCCATCTTGCAAAGTTGGATTCCAAATATGATTTATCAGACTTAAATACATTCTCTATAAATTCAACTTATGCATAACAATTCTTTGTACATAAAATTTTTTTTCATTCTAAAGAGAAGAAAATCTCAGAGTCTGTAGATTTTTACAAGTGCGCATTATCACGCAGCATTTAAGGCTTAGTACACGTATAAAATAAAACGCGTTTATTTTTTTCAGCAGTCCCAATTAAGCATGATTCTAAATTTTTATTAGGTCTGAAAGTAAATTTCGATTCCGAATTTATTGAACAATAAATTCGGTTCAAATATTATTTTAAAATGTAACATACCCATTTATCGCGCAGCATTTGAGGCTTAGTACACGAATAAAATAAAACGCGTTTATTTTTTTCAGTTACAATTCCTTGTCCTTCTATGTATAAGTCATGCAGTCCCAATTAAGCATGATTCTAAATTTTTATAAGTCTGAAAGTAAATTTCGATTCCGAATTTATTGAACAATAAATTCGAATCAAATATTATTTTAAAATGTAATATACCAATATTAAATTGTATCAATATATATATACAATATATATAATATATGTAGTAAATTTCAATTAATAAACATAATATACTGTAAATTATTAAATATAAATTAATTAAATATTATATAAAATAGCAGTTCATTCAAAAAAGATTGTTTAAAACATTTGCTAAAGTTTCGTGAATTACATAAATAACTATTAAAAATTATCTATTACTGTAAACTCAAAACAATATTTGTGAAAAACGATGAATTCTACAAAAAAGAGACTTTATCAACATCAACATTCAATATTAGTTAAACCAAAAAGAAGACGCACTCTTTGTTTAGATATACCCAAGCTATCTAGTTATAATTCAAGACCTACAAAATTGTTTGTTATGGGTAGCAATGATTGTGGTCAACTTAGTTTAGAGAATGTAGATGAAGTGAAGTTTCCTAAGCATGTAGAAAATATAGACGAATTCAAAATCATTTATATAAGTGTTGGAAGTCTTCATGCTGCTGCTTTGACGCAAGATAGAAAAGTAAATAATATATTTCCTCCTTTGTTTTAAATTAGAGTTTTAAATTATCAGATTAATTCATCCTTTCTCTAGGTTGTAACTTGGGGTTGTAATGATTATGATATAAGTTATCTCCATCGGAAACAATTTAATTGTTTGATAATGCTTATTTATATAAGCATTGATGTTTATTCAAGAAATTATTCTGTTATTATTAGGTGCTTTAGGTAGAATTACAGAAAGTGAGGACGATGAAAAGGTACCTTCCTATGCTCAAGGCATTAATGATGATGTAAATATTGTAAAGGTCGCATGTGGAGGAAACATAACATTTGCTTTATCAGAAGACGGTCAGTTGTACATAAGTGGCACATTTAAGGTATAAAAAGATATTGGCTTTACAGTTTTTTTAATAATTGTTAAATATCAATTATCTAATAAGAAAACCTTATTTATTCTAAGGATGAAGATGGTATACTAGGATTTTCTGCAAAGAATAAAGAACTTGAACGAAAAACATTTATAAAATATGATTCCGTTAGATTCAAAATTGCAGATATAGCTGCAGGTGAAAATCATACCTTGTTATTAACTACTGAAGGTTTTTTATACACATTTGGGAGTGGAGATGCTTGTCAACTTGGGAGGAGGATTTTG